ACATGTGATGTCACCGTTACTGTAACGTTAGCTTAGGATGGACTATTAATTAGCTTAGCTCTATTGTTGTTGCCTAACTAACCTAAATGTTGGTGACTCCACATCTGAAAAGGGATGAAACCTTTTCACAGTATGTGCTGTAACTATTCTGTGGCGCTCTTCATTCAGTTGCACCAACGTACTTCCCTTGGAGAACTCCTTCGTGAACAGAGGAGCACATCGAGAAGTCTGGCTAACATTATTAGTCATTTCAGGTCGTTTGTCTATGAAAAAATACACAAGCTAACGTTAGCATGGTGTTTGCATTTGAGGTGATCTGCTACTTAAAGTCAAGTATAACTTGTTAGCTGCCTTAATGTTGGTATGAGACGTAGTTTATAGTTTTATTTACCTGATTCTGAGGGTCGGAGCTGGAGGAGGCAGCAAAAATAGTCCAGTGGAGCGCGTCAAAGACGGGCCACTCTGTTACTTTTACACCCTCCTTTGCACAATATAAAATTATTGCAAATGCTGCACTGAGTCGACTGGTCATTTTATTAAAGTTAAGTCACGCTTTCAACCGCGGCTCCTCACTCCCCATGTATGGGAACATTCCTGTGGATTCTACTTCGTTGGACTCAGCATCGAAAGTAGGAATCGAAAATTAATATTTCGAACAGTTCTGGGAAAACCAGACAGTTTGTCCCGGTTCCAAACGATTCTCGATCCTCAATGCCCAACCCTAGCTACAGTCTGACTAATGTTTATCTTGTTTCTTCCTGTTTCTAAGAAAGAAAAACAAATCATTAATCAAGTTTGTTTTATTAGATTAACAAGTGTGAACATGAATAATTTTGGTTGTTATTTTCAATCATTATAATGACATCATGTGAAATATAATGTGTTTAACATATTTCTCTGTTCTGTTTTTCAGAAAGAGACTGTTCCTTCAGACCTGTTCTAAAAGCTCTTTGAGCTGGAGCGGTTTGCTTCGGCAGGGAAGTCACAATGTTCCTGGAGTAGTCAAAACATCTTCTCAGAACTGCTGTTTTGCACAAAGATCCTTTGAGTGAAAAGGCAGTTTGTTTTGGACTCCCACACCGGGCAGTTCTTCTTCAGTTCTGAACCGAAGTGTTCGTCTTTAGACCCAATCCTGACTTAGTCCGAGGTCTACTCGTTCAGTCCTGAGCAGATAAACATGTTGCTCAGTTACAATTTGTTAGAACCAAAAGTAACTAGAAAAGATGAATAATTTTTCTCACTGCCAGACTCATGTTCTCAGCTGAAGGTTGCAATGGACGGTGCACCTTCTCATCGTCTGTTGCCCTCACAGACCCCTGAAGCTCTCACAGTGACGATCAGCTACCTAGGGCAGTTCCTGACAAGTCCTTCTCGTGGTGTATCCTGGTCTGATCCACCAGCAGAATTCCAGAAAGACGAGTGACTTGGTGCCCTCAGCACTGACCCAGTAAGGAGCAGAACCTGGTGATGTGATGCCTTGGTCTGGTCATGCCAATTTAGCTGATGCAACTTGGTAAATTGTTTCCTGGCTTGCAGTGATAATAAATGACATCTGATTACATTCAATAACTTCTTTTAACTAAACTCCAAAGTAAACTCTTTATTAAAATTGTCAAACTTGGTCTACCCCTCCTTGGGCTGCCACCTTACCGTGGTGGAGGGGTTTGAGTGTCCCAATGACCCTAGGAGCTATGCTGTCAGGGGCTTCACGCCCCTAGTAGGGTCACCCAAGGCAGATAAGTCCTAGGTGAGGGACCAGACAAAGTGCAGCCCAAACACCCCTTTGATGAGAAAAATAAATGGACTCGATGTTCCCTTGCCCAGACCTGGGTCACCGGGGCCCCACTCTGGAGCCAGGCCTGGAGGTGGGGCACGTGGGCGAGCGCCTGGTGGATGGGCTTTTACCCATGGAGCTCAGCTGGGCACAGCCCGATGAGGAGACGTAGGTCCCTCTGCCCATGAGCTCACCATCTGTGGGAGGGGCCAAAGGGGTCGGGTGCAATGTGGGATGGGTGGTGGCCGAGGGCGGGGACACTGACGGTCTGATCCTCGGCTACAGAAGTTGGCTATTGGGACGTGGAATGTCACCTCACTGGTGGAGAAGGAGCCAGAGCTGGTGTGTGAGGTTGAGAGGTTCCGGCTAGAAATAGTCGGACTCACCTCTACGCATGGCTCTGGAACCAGTTTCCTTGAAAGGGGTTGGACACTCTTCCACTCTGGGGTTGCCCCTGGTGAGAGGCGCCGAGCAGGAGTGGGCATACTTATTGCCCCCCAACTTGGTGCCTGTGTGTTGGGGTTCACCCCGGTGAATGAGAGGGTAGCCTCCCTCTGCCTACGTGTGGGGGGACGGGTTCTGACTGTCATTTGCGCTTATGTACCAAACAGCAGTTCAGATTATCCAACCTTTTTGGAGCCCTTGGAGGGGGGTACTGGAAAGTGCAGCCCCTGGGGACTCCCTTGTTCTGCTGGGGGACTTCAATGCTCACGTGGGCAATGACAGTGAGACCTGGAGGGGTGTGGTTGGGAGGAACGCCCTCCTGATCTGAACCAGAGTGGTGTTCTGTTGTTGGTCTTCTGTGCTCGTCATGAATTGTCAATAACAAACACCTTGTTCAAGAATAAGGGTGTCCATATGTGCTCCTGGCACCAGGACACCCTAGGCCACAGTTGGATGATCGACTGTCGTCGTCTCATCTGATCTGAGGCCACATGTCTTGGACACTCAGGTGAAGAGAGGGGCGGAGCTGTCCACTGATCACTACCTGGTGGTGAGTTGGCTCTGATGGTGGGGGAGGATGCCGGTCAGACCTGGCAGACCCAAACATATTGTGAGGGTTTGCTGGGAACGTCTGGCAGAGTCTCCTGTGAGACGGAGCTTTAACTCTCACCTCCGGGAGAACTTCGAACATGTTCCGAGGGAGGTGGGGGATATTGAGTCCGAGTGGGCCATGTTCCGTGCCTCTATTGTCTAGGCGGCTTACCGGAGCTGCGGCCACAAGGTTGTCGGTGCCTGTCATGGCGGCAACTCTCGAACCCGGTGGTGGACACCGGCGGTGAGGGATGCTGTCAGGCTGAAGAAGGAGTCCTATCAGGCCTTTTTGGCCTGTGGGACCCCAGAAGCAGCTGATGGGTACCGGCAGTCCAAGCGACATGCGGCTTGGGTGGTCGCTGAGGCAAAAACTTGGGCATGGGAAGAGTTTGGAGAGGCCATGGAGAATGACTTCCACATGGCTTTGAGGCAATTCTGGTCCACCATCTGGCATCTCGGTGGGGGGGGGGGGGGGAGCGGTACACCACCAACACTGTTTATAGTGGGGGTGGTGTGCTACTGATCTCAACTCGGGATGTCGTGGGTCGGTGGGCAGAATACTTTGAAGGGCCCGAGTTAGTTTCATATTTTTTTCCTCTAGGCAAAACAGCAGCGAGCAGAATCCAGCTGAACAGCAGGAGAAGGCTCATCTGAAAACTAAATGGAGCAGATCGTCACTATTAAACTCAACCATTGACAGCAGAATTTACAGAATCTCATATTGCCTACCTGCAAATGTGTGTGTTACAGCACAATCTTATAATAGAGTTGCTGTATAAATTGGATCATGCAGCTGTAACAGAACAGTCTAATAAGCATTTGTTCACAGTAATGGGTAAGCGGTAGCAGGCTAGGCTAACCCTTACCTTCAAGCCATTAATTGGGCACATAGACAGACGGACCGGTCTTATACCCAGGAGGCACAGCAGAGAAGAGGCTAGACTGAACGTTAAGAAAAACAAACCAGTTTGTATTAGCAGCTAAAGGCAAACTACTGCGACAAAGAAAAACCAAACATTAGCCACGCTTACCGGAGAATGGTTATCAGCAGCGGAAGCAAGCAGACGTCGTGACGCACGCCGTGGACGCCAGACAGGAGTGACGTGCTTTTATACAGAAGCCGCAATTGACCATGTTAAAATGGCAGCACACCATTTATGCTGCTACAATAGGAATGGTAATGTTCTAACAAGTGAGGAGAGTGTGATGGGAAGATGGAAGGAGTACTTTGAGGAGCTAATGAATGAAGAGAATGAAAGAGAAAGAAGAGTAGAGGTCATAGAAACTGTGGACCAGGAAGTGGGAAAGATTAGTGAGGGTGGAGTCCAGAAAGCTCTGAAAAGAATGAAGAAGGGGAAGGCAGTAGGACCTGATGACCAGTGGAGGTCTGGAAATGTCTTGGAGAGATGGCAGTGAGGTTTTTGACTCAAATATTCAATGGCATATTTGAGGGTGAGAAAATGCCTCAGGAATGGAGAAGAAGTGCTGGTGGCCATTTTTAAAAACAAGGGTGATGTACAGAGTTGTAGCAACTACAGGGGAATTAAGTTGATGAGTCTGGATTATTGAGCAGCATCAGGATACTTACTGTATTTAGTCTTCTCAGCACTGAGTTTATTTTGAAGATAAGTGGAAGTGAAGTTCAGTAAAGTTTAATCTTCCCATGATGCATTTCAAAATATTTCAAGTAGAACCATTATGCATCAGGATACATAAAACCTTGGTTTTATTGCTAACATTTTTTTTATAAAACAGACTTTGCCAGACTGTTTTAAACTGTTCAGAAAAGAAACACGGGCTTTTAATCTGAAACTGAAGTTCAGTCTGACGGTGTTTGCAAGTGTTCTCCAGCAGGTGGCAGTGTTAGATAGAAACACACAGATATGACTTCCACAAACTTTAGACATGTTTCTGCTTAAACTCCAAGCTTTGTTCTGGATCAGTTGGTTCTGCTAAACCTCAGGAGTTAGGGACACAACACACACACACACAGAGACACACACACAGACACACACACACACACACAGACACACACACAAAGAGACACAACACAGAAACACAGACACACACAGACAGTCAGAGGGAGGAGATAATAACAGAGTTTAGGAGCTTCAGCTTTGCAGATCTCAGTCAGTCTGAGTTTGTTTGTCTCAGAGGACGTCTCCCTGTCTCTGTCTGTCCCTCTCTCAGCATGGACAGTCCTCTTTATGGATTACTGATGATGATCTTCCTGCTGCAGGTCGATAGTCTTCTCTTGGCCAACATCCACCGTGACTCAGGTCAGATTTACTGATTGTGCTGCTGTCATTCCTGCAGAGCTTCTTCTTCTGTGGTGGTTCAGTCCTACAGAATCTGACCTTTGACCTCTGACCTCAAAGCTCAAACAAAAGTGAATTTAGAACAATCTAGTTTGTTAGTTCTCTGTGTGTCTAGTCAGGAGGTCCTCCTAACACTTTTGGGTCCTCCTGACTCCTTCAGGTCCTCCTGACTCCTTCAGGTTCTTAGATGACCTGAAGGAGTCAGGAGGACCTGAAGGTGTCAAGGAAGACCTGAAGGTGTCAAGGAAGACCTGAAAGTGTCAAGAGGATCTGAAGAACTCAAGATGAGCTGAAGTAGTCAGGAGGATTAAAGGATTCAGGAGGACCTGAAGGATACAAGATGACCTGAAGGAGTCAGGAGGAACTGAAGGAGTCAGGAGGACCTGAAGGATGCAAGATGACCTGAAGGAGTCAGGATGACCTGAAGGAGTCAGGGGGACTTAAAGGAGTCAGTATGACCTGAAGGAGTCAGGAGGACCTAAAGGAGTCAGAAGAACCTAAAGGAGTCAAGATTACCTGAAGGATGCAAGATGACCTGAAGGAGTCAGAAGAACCTAAAGGACTCAAGATTACCTGAAGGATGCAAGATGACCTGAAGGAGTCAGGATGACCTGAAGGAGTCAGAAGAACCTAAAGGACTCAAGATTACCTGAAGGATTCAGAAGGACCTGAAGGAGTCAAGATGACCTGAAGGAGTCAGGAGGACCTGAAGCAGTCAGGATGACCTGAAGGAGTCAGAAGAACCTAAAGGACTCAAGATTACCTGAAGGATTCAGAAGGACCTGAAGGAGTCAAGATGACCTGAAGGAGGCAGGAGGACCTGAAGCAGTCAGGATGACCTGAAGGAGTCAGGAGGACCTGAAGGAGTCAGGAGAACATGAAAGTGTCAAGAGGACCTGGCAGAGTCAGGTGGACATGAAAGTGTCAGGAGGACCTGAAGGAGTCAGGAGGGCCTGAATTAGTGTAGAAGGACCTTAAGGAATCAGGAAGGATCAGAAGTAGTCGAGAAGAACCTGAAGGAGTCAAGATGACCGGAAGGAGCCAGGATGACATGAAGGAGTCAAGATGACCTGAAGAAGTCAGGAGGACTTGAAGCAGTCAGGAGGACCTAAAGGAGTCAGGAGGACTTGAAGGAGTCAATATGACCTGAAGGAGTCAGGAGGACCTGAAGTAGTTAAGATGACCTGAAGGATTCAGGAGGACCTGAAGGAGTCAGGAGAACCTGAAAGTGTCAAGAGGACCTGAAGGAATTAGATGGACCTGAAGGAGTCAAGATGACCTGAAGGAGTCAGGAGGACCTGAAGGAGTCAAGATAACCTGAAGGAGTCAGGAGGACCTGAAGGAGTCAAGATGACCTGAAGGAGTCAGGAGATCCTGAAAGTCTCAGGATGACTTTAAGGAGTCAGGAGGACCTTTAGGAGTCAGGATGGCCTGAAGGAGTCGGGGAGGAGCTGAAGGAGTCATGGAGGACCATGGAGGATTCACCAGGAGACCCCGCACTCCTTCAGGTCCTTTTTTCATTCAACCTTTATTTAGACAGGTAAATCCCATTGAGCCTCTCTTGTAAATGAGTCCTCGAGGCTCAATGGGATTTACCTGTCTAAATTAAGGTTGAATGAAAAAGGACCTGAAGAAGTGTGAGGTCTCCTGGTGAATCCCAAAGTGTTTTAGACACAAACATCAAACTCAGTGCAGATCTCAGGGATGTGTGAAGGTTTGAGAAAAATTGCCTAAAAATACTGAGATGTCATTCAAACCCAAAACCAAAGACACCAAAATGTTGCCTTGAATCCAAAACAACCAATAAAAGATGAAACAAACTTCATGTGACGTGGATCTAAAACAGCGTGATGCCAAATTCTCTCAAA